TTCGCTCGTTGACCTTCCCACTATTTGACGAGTTTAGCATTTTATTTGCCGAGATTGTTTGAGATACTTGTTAGATAAATGTAGATCGGTGATAAAAATTAAGCCTTTCACAAGAAAAATTCTTTGTAATCTAGACACAGCGCTTATTATTCTCTTACAAACCACGTAAAATCACTCAACTAACAAAAAATTAACTTACTCTGTTCAATCCTCTTTGCATATGAATTTTTATGGAGTTGTAATAGATGTGAACGTTAAACTTATAGATAACGTATTGTCAAAGTTGAGTCCGTTGCACGAGAGAAAGAGAGAGAGAGAGAGAGTAAGAGAGAGAGTGAGAGAGAGAGAGAAAGAGAGAGAGAGAGAGCGCGCGAGGAAGCAATAAAAGAAACCACTACGGTCGCTCTATCATTCTCGCTTCGATTTCCATGTCACGGTATTTAGCGCCGCAGTTCGCCTTTCTCTCTCTTTCCTGTTCAGTTGGATTGTTTGGTTTGTTCTGAAATCCCTTTTTTTGTTGTCAGCATCATAACTCTTCGGCTTTACATCATTCACTTTCTCTTCATTGTGCCTCTTTGTTCTCTCCCGTGTGCCGAAATTTCTCAGGGAATTCCGCGCGCTTAAAATAGCCTGTATGTGTTCGCGCAGTAGCAAGAGAGTGACATTGTAAAAAAAATAGAGACGGGAAAGTACGTTGTAAAGCGACGATGAGTTATCGCTTGGCAAGTTTTGGCTTGAAAGCCATCGTTCACTAAATCACGACAGTGTGGTCGAATTTTCGAGGTTCCATCGGTCACCTGCGACATTTACTGTACCCATAAAACGATTCGCAAAGTGTTATCTGATAAAATTCACAGTGGATAAAAATTTGTCCAAGCCAGGTAATAGAGGTGCTTCGATTTATGAAGTGCAACATCTCGCGCAGCACAAAGTACAAGTTCTTTCGTGTTATTTTACTGTCAAAGGTTTCCATAGAACGCATTTAAACGACGCCGACGCTATTTTTTTTTTTCGCTGCCGCGAGAAAAGACGAATTCATCTCTCTCTTTGCATGGCAAAAGCATGAGAGAAAGAGAGAGAGAGAGAGAGAGAGAAAGAGGGAGAGAGAGTGACGAAAATTGCGTAGGCAAGCTCTTACAGTTTCTCTTTGTGCTTTCACTTAGTCTTCTTTGAATCCTCTTCCGTTCTCTGCCTAACTTTGTTTACCTACGTGAGTGGAAACGGATTTTTTCTTTTTTCATTTTAGTCAGGGAAGATGAAAATCAAGTACAAAGCCGTTATTGTATCGCAATAACGAAAAAATAAAGAAATCCGAGATTTAACGTTCATGCCATGTTGTTACACACGCGTATATATCGTCATTAGGTAGGGCCTTTGTTATATACCTGCACCTGTGCGGCAGCTACATCCACGTCCTCTCTATATCCTCGCTTATTAGCTGCTGCTCATTATACTCTCTTTGTACATTTTTACATAGGTATGAGCAGCGCAAGCGCAATAATGTTGCATCAACCAACTACATTGTGACGACGACGATCGATGCTTTTTAACTTCCATTTTGTTCTTCCATCAATTTTTAGCAGAAGTTCCAATTGCGGCCACTTCGCTATCTGACCTCCTTATCCTTCCTTTTGGAGCTCACTTTTCGGTAGGGTGGAGATTCGCTCAAGGCTGAAACGTATCACACACGACGGAAAAAAGGATCTGTATATGATATAGTAAACGCCTGGGCTTCCAATCTTACTATATTTCACAGAATATAAGTTACACTATGTAATTTCGTGCGAGGAGTACTAATGCAAAAAAATAAATATTGCCTTGTACTAGTAACAATCCTATAACGACTGCAACTGGAGGATTTTCGAGAAAAGTAAAAGAATTACGTCACAGGAGAGAGAGAGAGAGAGAGAGAGAGAGCGAGAGCCTCCTAATTGGATATCAAACTGTGAGCTAAAAAGCCAATTAAAATGAGCACGCGAATGAGCACTCGCGGACGATCCTCGCACGCGCGCGCGCACACATTTTATGCCGTAGAAATTACTTTTAATGACTCGGCTTTGCAGCTCGCTCTCTCTCTCTCTCTATCTCTCTCTTACTCTTTTATCTTTGAATTCTTTTACAGCGTGCGTAATCTCCGTAGACCTTTCGTATGAAACTCCGTTGCCGACCATTTCTCAGCTTAATTGCAAACGTATTTCATTCTCCAATTTGCAGATTTTCCATATCTTCTCTCTTTTCTTTACTTTCACGGCGAGTCAACAGGAAACGATCGACTGTTTATGTATCTTCAATATTGATTACCGCGTCTCAAATGCATACACACGACGGTGTCCTTAACTTGTCTTGAGTTACGCGTACGGTGAAGCAAATCAATCAAGGATTTTAATAAACGTCCATCTTCCTACTCTTCGCAATGTTTTGCATAATTTCGCACCTCGTATTCTATTCCGAAGATGTCGTACTATCAAGATTAACGACGGTTTGTGAATAACAATAAATTACTTTCATATGTCTCGCACTTTTATTGTTTACAGGATGCGAAAATGACCGCGAATGCATTCCAAACATTTTTCACGTCTGGCTCGGGTTATACTTGGGTTGAATGGTCTTCAAAAGTCTGCGAGAAGAGGAGGAAATTCGTTTTATGAATTCGACCATGCTTGCCCCGGCACAAAGGACTTCCATTTTTTGCTCTCTCGTCTTGAATGAAGATATAAGGAAAGGGGTTTCGATCATTATCTTCAAATGCGCAGGTTCAGAAAGGAAAAATTCTATGAAAAATACGAACACTGAATTATTATTGAATTATTAATCATACGTATATTAGGTAGATGGAGAAAGGAATTTTGTAATCGATCTATGGATTGTCATACCATCTAAAATCGACAGTCCTTTCCAATTTAGCTATAACGTCGAATAGGTCTATCTATTAGATATTCAAAGACAATGATGTTTGTTCGCTTTCGAGACTAGATATTAGCGTATTTTCAAGATAATATTGTTTGCGCAGTTGTTGTGCACTATGAAAACGCAATGGTATATACTCCTTCGCTACTTCTTATCTCTAATTACATATCTACAGCGACAGCGCCAATTAAATATTTTAACAGAAGCTCTTCGTTATTCTCTGCCTCTCAGAAGTAGTTTACATAATTCCGTGTCATCTCTGCTTCCCACTTTAGTAATCCTAACATTACTTGCTTAATGTACTTTTACTGAATGACCGTCAAAGACTACGGAAAGGAAGTTTTTTTTTAATTTGTCGCATTGAAGCAACAAATAAGTAGAACTTGCTCGTTACTCTCAAACACGTAAATTACGAGAAAAGCTCTTACTATAACGTTTTCTGACATTACTTGCAATTACAATGTATTTTACTGAACAAGCCAAGTAATAAAATAAGCATTCGTTACCTCTTCGTGATTAGTTCTATTCGTGACTATTATTAATAGTTGATTCAAAGATTAGTGCCACGTAATTGATACGGTGTGCCATAAACCCAATAAAAAAAGTCATCTGAAGATCCAACAAAAAGATATTGGTCTGTAATAGTAAATTACAATACAAGTACGGGAAAGTAGATTGGCCTCGTGTCGTATGGTATTTTTTGATACGATGCATGCAATTGACTTTGAGCGCACGCTTTTGGTAACATACTTTTTTCTACCATACTGTTTGCACAGATGTAAGCGGCGGCGTAAAACCTCTAGTGACGTTATTATAAGTATCGGAGAAATATTATAGAGTATCAGTAATAGAAAACTGAACGAACATACAGCTTATCAGATTTAAGGCAATGAAGTTCTTCGTTATTTTTTTTATGTGCTACCTAGTTTTCGTTGTTGCAAATGAAGAGGTAAATTATAATTCATTTGTTCATTTCATCTTTTTCTATATTCTAATACGTTCCTTTTTTTTTTTTATTGTATATTTCTCTAGCCGCCATGTGCCAAAAAATTGCAAGTAGTGAAAAACGTATTTGAAAATATTGTAGCAGAGGTAAGAAAATTACATGTAAGACCTTAAAAAAATAATATGACGAGTGGTAAAAATAAAAATTAAACATAATGTGAATTCTATCTCAAGTTAATCTTAGTTGGTTATCATTATAATAATATTATATTTCATGATTATTATAATAACATAATAGTATATTGAAACTAGAAATACTTAAGTAAAATCAAATGTAAATTCGCATGTAAAATTTATTTTATTCTTTCTCTACTTATATTGGAAATCATTAACAGACACTATAATTCATTTTTTATAAGCTGAATGCAACCTGCGAAAATCACAAGACAGCTTGCGATGATTACGTGGTCAAAATGTTGGTCAACTTCACAGAAGAAGAAATACATATTTTTAGAGAATCATGTCATGTGAGTATCTGAATAATTTGTAATGAAAATATAGACAATTATTCTAAAATAATCTTTTCTTTCTTTAGACCATGGTCGGACAGTACTTGTGCGAGATGGACAAAGAACAAACTCTCACAAGCTTGTTTTATACAATGAAACGGTTCTTGAACAACCGTTGAAAGTACGCATTAACGAAAATGTGAAAGTTAAAGACTTTCACATTTTTATATAAATTTATATAAATTTTGATGAATACGCAACAACAAAATCTCATTTGCTCTCAAAAATCTTGTACGTTATTTTTTGTCAAAAGCTTTGAATCCGAAGGGAAAAAGTTGACGATCATCGGATGATCGAGACGCATGGATAATCAGGCGGATATAGATAATTGCAAAGTTGCAATAACAAAAGCCGTAACGAAGCTAGCAATTAATCCGAAAACTTGCACGCAGAGGGAGAGCGAGAGCTAGAGGGAGAGTACGATGTACGTATCCTCCATGAGGGTAAAAACAAGCCACCGCGCCACGCCGCACTGCACTGCACCGACGCGATGTATATACGAGAAGGGGTGGAAGAGGGCGAGTAGATGGAAGGGAAGCTTGGCGTCGGCCTCTCTCGTCAGTCGGCCGCGACCAATCGTTGAGGGTAGCTGCTGCTGCTCGTTCTCTTCTCTCTCTTCTCTCTCTCTCTCTCTTCCTCTCTCTTCCTCCTCCTCTTCTTTCTCTCTTTTGTCCCATTCTACTAGTGCTCCGGCGATGAGGCCGGGAGAGAAGCCTGGTGGCGCCAGGACGCCAAGACACGAGGTGTGTGTGTTTGTGTTCGATACCGTGCTCTTTTATTCTTATATATCTCTTCGTTTTTGTGCTTCGCGCTTCATAGTGTTTTTTGATTAATTGCTCCTTTCTTTCTTTGACGGCGAGTGAGTATATATACCGCTCCTCTTTCCTTTAACGGCCAAGTTTCGCGAGCGTGTTGGCCGGCCTTCTCGACCGGCGGTAAATATTTTTGCGGACGTTCAGTGCCGGATTACGAGGCTCGAACGGAGATCGTAAAATGTGCGTGTGCGCTGGTGCTCGACAAAAACGAAAAACAATACCCTCTCCGCGTTATCGAGCAAAACCGTAAAAGAGGACGACTGTTGGATGTGCCTCTATCTCCAATTCTCACAGTCGATTTACTATTTTTAAATGTATACGTGCATATTTGTCGAAAGACTCTGCGCCAGACATTGATGGAGCGATGTTATCAAATGGACTGAGAGATCTCTCGTCTTTTTTTTTCTTCAAGCTGTGAAATATATCATCGAGCGTTAGAGTTGACGGATTTTGATGGAGCACGCTGCTTTATGCACTTAGATCGTATTAAAATGAGTCGAGGCTGTAGATGTTGTCCAAGACCACTGATGCGATCTTGACGGCCGCGGAAATTTTTTTTTTTATCGGCAAACTGAACAATTTATTGATGCTGTACAGAGCTATTTACGAGTGGATGGCTAAGGTGAGATATTTCTTCTTAATCCAGTCATGGATTCTTCGTTAAAGGTTAAAGATAAATTCGAAAAGTTCCTGCGTTTTTTTGTCGACAACTATAAAGTCAATTTAATTATTACATGTGCGCTGAAATAAAAAGCAAAGCAAATAAAGAAGTATGTCATAGAGTCCTTCGCGCACGAAATTCGACATCCGCGCAAATCCAATTTATTCCGTATAATCCGACAATACTCGATTTGCTTGCAAGTCGACGGTAGGCAGGCAAACGACAAAGGTTAATTCTTGTCTCTCTTGCTTGACGATCCTCCCTTGCGACATACTGCACGCTCCGACAAGATTAAAATGCGCCAGTAAATGAACTGTAAAGTTTTCCTTAGAAGTAAAAGAACGGAACTTTTTTATAGAAGCACGCTGTCACAGGGGCGTGCACTGAACGCTCTTTATTTCCTTTTCTTAGCTATCTGAATAGAAGAAAATTTATCGTCTGCGCGGTGAAGATTAATGTGCAATGTTAAACAGCGCTTGTATGAAAATTCCATACTACGCGAGATACGGGCTAAATGTCTGCATTGTACGAATTCACTTTTACTATTTCAACGAACGATAATAGTCCCTGGGTGGACCGCTATTCATTAAAAATGCATATTCATATAATTTACATAAGCGCACGAGGTAAACTTAATTATTGACAAGTGACTGTCGCTCGTGCAAAAGTTTTACTCTCTCTTCCTCTCTCTATCTATCTCTCTCTCTCTCTCTCTCTCTCTCTCTCTCTCTCTCTCTCTTTCAAGTGTTCTCGTGGGACAAAAGAGTCTTCAAGCTATTGTGAGATTGCAATATCGAGCAAATTAAAGCTTCCGGTGTTTGTATTTAATTTTCAAAGTAGATTATAATAAACGGATTTTGCGAAACTTTCTCGTACCGATGGATCATTGTAAAGTTGAGGTTTTCAAACGAAAAGTTTCTTAGTGAGCGTGCACCACAAAAGCTAAAGCCCCATGATTACAATGTGAGAATGTATAGGGGTAGCGCCACCAAGTAGTATAACTCAGAATATGGGTCGACACATTGTCATACTGCCACGCATATAATACTCTGCTTTGGTTTATCATTTATGTCCTTTGCCAAAATGACGAAATGTAATTTACAAAGTTAGAGCTACCAGGTATTCTCTCTATAATCGCAAACGTCAACCTTGGTTACTTTATCTGCACAGTTATTTCTATCATACGTGATAATAATTAGGCCCACGGCGTGGAAGTGGTTATCGTTGAAATAAACATATTTTGCATATTAATCAAAGATAGATATATACATACATTAGAATTTACATTAGTAATATGCTTTCAAAAATTTTACATGTTCAATAAATTAAAAATTAGGCATTTCAATTTATTCTGTCACGGAAAGGTCTATTTTTAGTTGATTGTATTACAATTACATAATAAAGTGATAACTTAGATGAAAATATTACGTAAGTGTAAAATATTCAATACTTTATACTTATACGCAGATAACTGACATAATATTTATGGACAGTAAATTCAGTTTACAGAAAATAAAATTAATTTATCGAGGATTAGTTACGTCGGATTCTGATTTGTTCGTTAAATAAGAATTAAATCGTCTTGTCATTTAGTCAGTATACAATAAACTATAAGAGATGCTTCAATATAGTTATTGCAATGAGTGATACAAGCAACTAAAGGTTTCGTAAAAATTGTATTATAGAGATTTCTTTACAAAAACTACATGACTTAAAATATTACAGTACAACTTAGCGCAATAGAAAAACACGTAGTTCACTGATTTCTTTTATACTATTTGTCATTTTATCGACAATGATTTAAATACAAGTTGATAGCTAACTATTGATATATATGGTTTATCATTACATTTGATCAAACAGCACATGCAATATATGTGGTTACTAGCTTCGGACTTCAAAAGTAAGAGAAGATTTAGTATTTTATTTTTAAAAACTAGTGATATTCAAGTAAATAAAGGACTTTTTAACGTAAATAAATTTGGTCTAAGGAACCAGACATCGTTGCTTCAATCGAAGAAAAAAACAGCTCGAATAAACCAATCGAAGCAAATCATAAAAATAAGAAATAAAAGAAATAACCGACCTTAAGGCAATAGCGACAAGCGTGAAGTACTCGGCGAAAATGCAGATGAAGCGAGAGGGAAAGAAAGATAGTGAGAGTTGATTAAAAAACTGTGAGTTTGAGAAGTTTGCTAAATTGCCTTCATGTCGAAACATTTCTCTCATGCACGCAATTTCTTTCTGCGGCTCAAATTAACCCTCCGGTGGTCCTTTTATGAATGAGACGCTACATCTGAAAGCTCGCTGCTGTGTGTGAGTGTGTCAACATCATACGTGTTATCCATCAAAGTAAGTGAATCGTCATGTTTGCTAAATCAACGTCGAGACTTGTTTATCCGTTATCCACGGTTAAATGCGTTTTGGAAGGACGAAAATGTCAAAGTCTCCGTGTATTCGTGCGGTGATGCTGCATTTGCGTGTTACGTTGCAATTACCAAATCGTGGAAGTATGAAGTTATCGATCTTGTACATTCTTGATTATATATGTTCTCCTTTCAAGTAAAAAATGCACTAGTCTTCGAGTAATTAGTAATATCAATGAGAAATTAGACGCGGTGCAATCGATAAATTTTTATTGATGTTGATGCGCTTGGGACTTTTTCATATAAAAGATTTTCCTTATTAATACACACGTTGCATCGATAATTACATAATACGTACAAAACGAAGGAAAAAGATTCACTGCCCGCGAGCGACAATGGTCAATAATTCACTGAATGGAATTCACACGCGTAGTGACGCTCAATTCCGTAAAAAAAAGAAAGAGGAGTCTCTCTCTTCAAAAAGGAAAGAGGAGTCCAGCATTCCAGCCGCGTGCAATGTGTAAAAGTATTCGCGAATCAATTCCACTAATTTCAATAACCTCGGGAAAGTGGAATACATCGGACAACAGTTATTCGCTCAGTTACAATCGTCGGCTCCATTAAAACATTTTACAAATTGTCGACAAATAAAAAAGGAAAGATCGGTGGAGTTAGCACACGAGTGGAGAGAAATTCACGTTGAATCTACCTGTGCTACCGTAGTGTAGGTCAACGCTCTTCGTATAAGCCTACACAGGGGACGAAAATAAATAAAGCTGTCTTTTTATGTATCTGTGGTGAATAAATATAAATAAAGATCTCTCTCTCTCTCTCTCTCTCTCTCTCTCTCTCTCTCTCTGTCGCTCTCGTGAAGAATAAAATTTTCAGTGAAGAATATTGCTCGCATGAATGATTTAACGCACAGGAGCGCATAGATTTTCGTGTTTATTCGGCTGTTTTTTCCCTGAGATTCCGCTTCTTAGTTCTTCGATAATTCAAGGGATAATTCTTTTTTCTCTGTTTTATTTTTAAGCTAAAAACCTTTTTTACCGATGGGATCTGCTTGCGTGAATATTATTCCCAGCACGTCCAACTCGATATATATGTATTTCGCGACGCGTTTCGAAGTTTGCTTTCAAATATGCTTCGACCCGATGTATTGTCAATTTAAACGGGAAAATGCCATATCGAAATAGCTTTATATCAAACTACGTTACGTTTGACGTTTTCAATATTGCATTTCGACCGTACATGCATGGTTTTATTGAAACTTTTTAACTTTTCACGTGCGAGAAGCTACAATGAAATGATCCTCTCTTCGCCGAGAGAAGCACGCAAAGGAAATGAAAATAAAACAAATAATTATGAATATTTACGTTAACATCGTAAAATATACTATGAGACAATGGCGAAAGAGCTACTGTTTTTTTTCCTTCGTAATTTTCAAGTAGCCTAGATTTCATGAAATGCCTTTTTTCCAAGATTTTATTGTATGAATAATTTATATAATGTCTTTCTCAGAAAGAGTTATAAAATTTACATTTTTTTTATATACAAATCTTGCGGTGATAACTGATTGCTCAAAAAAAAAAAATGAGCTCGATGTTTTATATGGATTTTTAGGAAAAAAGATTTTTCGAGTGATTATTTATTTTCATAACTCTTTTGCATCTTCTTGTTGAGGATTTAGTTTTGTTTGTTCTTGCAGTAAAAATGCTTTTCAATTCAAGTCATAGTCAGAGAACAACGATTATAAAAAGTTAATTAAATCTCTACTTCACTCATGGGAGTGAACATTTTAAAGTAGAATTCATGCATACGAAGTTTCTTTACAAAAGAAGGAATAATCTTCTATAATTTTTTTCTACGTATTAAAATATTTATATACGTTTACAAACCAAATAAAAATTAAGAAATTACGTTAAATTTTCGTCGTAAAACTTTCGTTAATTTTCAGTCCCACTTTATCATGAAATACACGGCGTATAACCCGAAATTTGCACACTATAGAAACGCCTATTCATGTAAGTCCGGCCATTGTAGGTCGACTACGTCTTAAATTTAATTTGTCGTCTGCAAGCTTCACACACACACAATGTTTGAAAGAGCTCCATTACAGATAGAGAACATAGGCTATGGTTGTATTGTGTTCACACAGGTGGGTCGGAGGCCTCGCAGCAGCAAGGAAGTGAGATGAATAGCCACAGTGGCGTCTGGCAGGCAACACTGACTGACTGACTGACTGACTGACTGAAGACGAGAAGAGAAAGAGAAGAGGAGTTCAATCATCGTTCATTAGGATACAATAATGAATCGCGAGAATGAGGAAGTGAGTATTATGAGAAAGCTTTTAAAACGAATTTACGCTTCATCAAAGGGTTCCCTTAACGAAGGGAAATTTTCCCTCTTGTATACTCGAGTACTACGAAGATAATTTCACCTTCGTAATAGTAATTTCAAAGGCTTCGCTCAAAGCTTTCTTTTTTTTCAGCTGTTGATTTTATCAACATTCACGCGAGAGACTTTCATTAAATCTATTCGTGATTCTCACTATGTAGGTCATTATATTATTTTCCATTGAAAAACGTCTTTGTTAAGACTTTAATTAATGACCCTATCCTTGTTGGAATATGAAACGTCCTTGAAGGGGTAATACGAGATCCTTTTCTCTCTCTTTTTTTTTTGAAAAGTAATATCGCAGCTGTACATCTTCTTTCTATCTCCTCCGTCATTTTAATCACTTTTTCGGTTGCGAATATATTCGTCCTTTTGAAAGACTTCATTATTGCGCACGAGGCTTTGAAACACTGCGAAGCATTCGAATAATGAGCAAAGTTGTCGTAACTTTGCCGAGCTTGCCAACAATTATTGCAAATAATTGTCCTGTAATGACGCGAATTCACGGGATTCTGCACACATTTCTCAATTTTCTTTTCCAGGTTAAATATTTCTTATTTGACATAGTCTTTCTTATTTGGTTAAAAAGAGCCTGTCGTTTGCTTGGGGGTTCGTTCCCTCGGTGAAGGAGAAACGTATCTTTTGTTTGCTCGAATGCATTTAACGCTACTGTGAAATGATTTCTAGTCGATAAATTTGCTAAAAAAACAATTCGAAAAGGACAAACGCGCGTACAAAGATTTATGAAAATCCATCGTTTATTAAAGCCATATCTCTGTGATCGCATTTCAAGCATCACCTCGCGACTCGTAATGAATAGCATATCCAACAAACTATTCATTAATTGTACGCAGTTGAGCATTAAAATAAAGCTAAACCAAGGCCTCCTCTCTAATACAATATTCCAATTGGTTCGCAGCAAAAGCCAGTACCCCAGACGCTGTGCGGTGCACTGCAGAAGGAAGCCAATTGCAAATGTCTTGTGCTCTCAGTGCTAATCTACGGGTGCCTTGCCGCCGTTACTTGGTGCAGATGCGCCAACGTACCCAAGGTAGGTAAAATCTCCCGCATTCAAAATACCTCATTTCGCGTGCGAGTATATGACGTACCTACGACGGTGCTATGTAGCCTCCTCTCTGGTTGCTCTCAATTAAACTCGTTAGTATCGCAGCCGAGCGTCAACTTGTTGAGCTGTCGCGAAGAGGACAAGAAATTCACGCGCTCTCTCTTCTTTTCAGATTGTTCTAGATTTCACCACCTATCCTATCAAGAGCACCAAGCATGTCTCGCCTTGCGAAGATGGTTACATCTACATTCCCGTGAGTATGGTCGAGCGAACGGTTACCTCATCGCGCGGCACGTGTTCTTTTGTTTCCTCTGCCGTCGCAGCTCGGCTGCTTGTCATCAATCAATCGAGCGTCAGCGTCGTGAAAGCAACGGGACGGACAATTATCCGGTCGAGCGTACGGAAGCGGATATCGAAAAATCCCGAGTGCGTAATATCGATCGAGCTCGTGGCGTGACACGCAGAATTTAATATCCGCGGCGTCAGCGCTACGAAGTAATTTTTGCACACGCCAAGTAAGCTCGGCCCTCGGTTCCCTGCCAAGAGATTTCGAGAGGAAAAGCCCTGTCATATTTCCGCAACGCGCGGCTCTATGCTCAATCGTCGAAGCGTACACATTTGCTAAATTAGGTTGTCGTATTTGACCTAGGGTAAAACACACGCGGTGCAGGATTACGTGGAACACCAGCGTCCTTTCTCCCTCTGTAGTATTTTCCCCAATCAAACAGAGTAGCCCTGGACGTTTATTGGAACATATCGCCGGTGCACACATACGCGCATTCAAAGGCAAAAAAGTACGTTATGCAAAGCTCTTGCGATCGATGTATTATTATTTTTCATTCCACTCTGCGAGAGAAGTGTGCAGCTTATAAAGATTCCTCGCGTACATCTCGGCGCACGAAGGAAAAATCGTTGAAAAAATATATTCCAGTAGAATAGCGTTGGCAATAAACTTAAAAGCCCATTTCCTCGCTAAAGTCATAAATCAAGTGGATGCTCGCCCGGCTCATAACTCGCGCGAGCGCGTGTGTCTGTCTATGATACAGGTGGCGTTCATGGGAATGCTTTACCTCGTCTATCTGGTCGAATGTTACCATTCGCCTATCAGAATCGACCTCCTGCACGCGGAGGGTCAAAGCTCTGTACTCGCCAAGCTGACACAACTGAAACTTGCGCAACCGACGATCTGGTGGAAGGCTATCTCGTATCATTACGTGCGGAGGAAACGGCAGGTTGTACGGTACAGGAACGGCGACAATTTTACTACCACCCAGGTAAGGGATTGTACGCGCGATCATCGCTTAAAGAACCAATACGCATGCGAGAGCGAGAGAGATAAGCGTGGATTTTATGTCGCGAAAAAAATGCGCCTTCGCGCGAGAGGAGGACCTTCAAGGTAGTTGCGCTATAAAACACTCGCTCGAGCAATTTTATAAGCTGTTTATTCCCGATTATTCAGCTACCTACGAATCGATAAATCAAATCATACATTTGTCGATTATATATATATGTAATATTATATATATATATTATATACACCGTACATTCGCGTCTAGCCACGAATGTACGCGGAGAAAATACCCCTAATTTCATTTTAATACGGCTATTACCTTACCGCGATTCATTTTTTTTTTCCTTTTTTTTAATAGACTAGGGTACTTGACTTTTAACAAGCACTCAAAAACCTACAATTTCAAGAGTTGTTTTGCCACTTGCACAAGATGAACTTGACGACACTCGAAAAAATAATTGCTTGATTGTCTTACTACGTTTCAAATTGTACTGAAAATGTTAGATGCGCACTCATCCGCAAATTATAAATAAATTATTTAGATGAAAAAAAATCATTGCCAAAGTTGATGAAAAGGGAGTATAAAAAATGGGCGAAAAGCTCAAAACGTCAATATCAGCAGCATTCGTACAGAAAAAAATAGGGCAAATTGTAGAAGAAATCCACAACTTTCTAAAACTGTACAGGCAGGTTTGTAAAAATATTGCATTTCGAGACGATTGAACCCTACACAAATTATGCGTAACTGCGAATTACACGCTTGAGTTATATCAATAAAATTACATATTTTCTGATGATGGTCAAGCGTCAAAAAAAAGTTTACTCGAGAAAATCACTGAACAAAGAAAAATACACAAACCCTTGCATAATAAGCTTAGGGGATGTAAAAAGAACTTTGAATCCGTTTAATCAGTCTTTCAAATTGATTTGAAGAAGCTGAGTAACCTCTCGCTTTGACTGATTAATAATTCAGTGAGAAATCTCCATAGAAGCTCTCCTCCATTTTCTTGTAAACAGCGATAGTAGAGTTTTCATTTAATTTGTCACGCCCATAAATTAATTGCAAGTTTAATGCTTCACTTAACTTCAATCAGCTCGGAAATTTCCCCTCATTAGATAATTCGTCAATCAAATCAGCCTTGATTGTTCAAAAATCTCTCGCGTTATCTATTACAGCATTATTATTATCTTGAGTTATCTTTTTTTTAACGCCAATTTTTTTCCACGTGCACATAATTAATTTATCGTTTTCCTCATTCATTTAGATTGTCTAGCCCGATAAATTACGTAATATGATTTGTTGAGTGTCTTGCACAGAGTATCTCTCTCTCTCTCTATCTCTCTCTCTCTCTCTCTCTCTATCTCTCTCTCTCTCTCTCTCTCTATCTCTCTCTCTCTCTCTCCTCTCTCTCTCTCTCTCTCTCTCTCTCTCTCTCTCTCTCTCTCCATTTTCCGATCCCGCAAATTACAATGGTTTCGTCGTCAAAGAGGATTTATTTATTGGACAAAGCTTTTAGCTAGCCGTTGAAAAGATTTGTTTCTCTTTTTTTAAATGAATTATTGATCGAAAGGTTATTGAAGGTTCTACGGTGTGCATTATGAATATGCTAAAACAACGTGAAATTTACAATTCATAAACGATACTTTCTCTCTCTTTCTGTTATTGGAAAATTAAGTCGAACGTATGTGCATCGAAAACGACGAAATAAATTATAATGTATTTGAATCGAACCTCCCTTCGACGAATAAATAAACAAAGAAGAAAGCTAACGAAATCGCAAGTTGAAATACATGAAAAAAGATAGGCAATTTTAGAATCACCTGGGAAAAATGCGATAACCCAAGTTGAGAGGGAAAATTCTATTGAAAAAGCAGACGACCGAAACCGCGAGTGCACACACGTACGTAGACTGGCAGGAAATTCACGCGGGATTTTAACTTCCGAAGCACTTTGCTCGCGTGAGGGAAAAAGTTGAAGGTAACTTTCGACAAACACTGTTTGCGAATCGACCTGTTAACGACAGAAAGAAACTTCGCCGAGGGATTGGAAAGAAATTTGGTTCTAATTTGAATGCCCGGAAATTTTATATGTTTGTATCGACGGGAAGAAAGTATCAATCAACTTATGAGTGATACAAGGAATAATGAGCTGAGAAGAATTAAATTACAGTTAGTTATCGAAGTAATTAATTCCATTTCTGTCACGCAACTTTTGACTCGACAGGAATTCCTTCCCCACGACATTAATTCTGCCGTAATTACTCTTACGCGCAAGTTTCTAGTAGGAGTCAGTTATGGAAAATGAGCTTTTACCTTTCTGAAAGAAAATACTTTTTACTACGATAAATATTTCATAGAGAATATCGCACTCGCAATTATTTGAAAATAAACCACACACGTACATAAATAATAAAATACGAGGGATTCACCTACAGAAACAATGCCATGCTCTTCTCGTCCTTGATACATTTTTCTTTTTTGCGTCATTGACCAGCACGTGAGAGTACGAGGAGGGTCACATAATTAATTATTTACACTAGAATTAACAGCGTCACCGTCTATAAACTGCCGTATATGTGTGTATGTCGTTCGATCGATCCATCGCTATTCGAGTGTCCACTCTCGTGCACGTGCGCTCTTATCGCCATGCGCTGATTGATCTCGCGATTTCGAGGGGTGCAGCTTTCCTCACACACGTCTGTGTACATGAGTGTGAGTAGATATTTTTTCCTCTCGTTCTCTTTCCAGGAAAGAAAGGTCGATAGGGTGCTTGAGCTTCCTCACTGGAGAGTACCCATGCTTTCTTTTTGTTAAGTCGAGTTGATTTTCAATGCAGAGGGTCATTTTTTTCATAGTGAATCAATTTTTCCTCTTGCGATATTTATTTAATCGACCGTGTGAAAACTCGATCATTCAATAATTTTTATGTTTCACGATTCTCATTGATTTACGTGAGTAATAATTATACGTAAATGCATATAAAGTTAATTCACTCAAAGTCGGACTTGCAGTGCAGATAATGTAAAATCGATTTAACAATTAGAATATGAGAGAGAGAGAGAGAGAGAGAGTCAGCAACAGCATATCCACTAAAATCAATTGCATTATATTTTGTTCTCCAGTGTGGATTGGTTATTAGTAAATAACGAGTTTGAAAATTGAATCACCATAGCGTAACGAATTGAATGCAAAGACAAATCTAAACCTTTCTGCAATAATTGAAATCTAACGAATCGAACCGTTATAACGATTTAATTCATGAGATCAGGGGTACATGCTCGAATAAATTAGCAACAACGTCATACTTCGATTGTTTAAAATTAATGACACCAGCACTATGGGGGGGGGGGGGGGAGCAATCTAATTAATCACCCCGTACGAAAAAAAATATCACGAGTAGGAAACAAAAGAAAAAATGTTACAAATTGCCAATCTTTGTATCTAGGCATTTAAATGGCGTGTAAAGGGAAGAAATAGAGCGGCGGAACAGTTTTTATACGTTTCGTTCGTGACCTACAATGTATCCGAGTTTCTCTGTTGGTATAACAGGTGTATTACGAGAGGGTGAACTCACACGCGGCCTCGTCCCTTTACTTTTACGACTATTGCGGCTCCAAGGACATCAGCAAGGAACTCGTACTGGATCCTAAGATTCCAATAACCAAGATTACGTTGTCCAAAGGTTTTGCTTTCTCGAATGTCAGGTCAGCTACCGAATTCGAGGAAGCCAGGTCGAGATTCTTTGCTGAACAGGTACATTTTTTTTATTATCATTATTAACGTTTGCTGAGACTAATTTTCTTTTTCGATTAATGTTAGTGTGGATAGGCTATGAATTTTTGACAAGTCATTTACAAGATTGAAATATTGAAACTTGAATATATCGATCGTTTTATGGCTGTATCCGGGAAGCTGCCAAATAAAACTTTATCTTGTTAAGGCAATTATATTTCTATTGACGCGATTGTCAATAAAACATTTTCCCTGAATGACATATCTCATACATGACTTTTCGAACGACGCCACAGCTTCTGTGCAAGTGATTCAAGACATTAAATTTCAGTTTTACGAAAACCCTCGAAGACGTTTAAATAATTTGTACTCGCAGGAGTTCCGAGACGACTATATGGAGATGAGGGAAGGGTTAGATTTGGGTTGCAATTTTGGTCCAATGACACTCGTGTCAGTCCTGGGTAACCCATGGTTTACTCGCTCTTATGTTTACTGGTGCCTTAGTGCGCTTTTGCTTAGCTGGCCACTTAGAATTATCATCGAATGCAACACGCAATACGTCGATTATCAGGTAATATTTTTATATTACTTTCGTGCATTCTTCAGAATATGAATAAGCGTGTAGATTATATTTTATTGGGTAATTGTGTTTAATTTAACCTTGATTCTATATGACTCCTTAGTTTTTAATGAATGAAACTAATCGTGAATTTTACTCGCCAACTTCTAACGTGATCAATAACTTTGGAATATGTTACCTCGGAGCTTATGAAATTTACATATCGGTCTTTTTAAAAGAACTCTTGAGAAATACGTAAAAAATTAGTTTATTTTAGTTTCTTATTATTATTGTTATCACTTTAATTAAAATTTGTTGTCAACGTTTCGTCATTACTATTTTGCAAACCATAATCTGATTTTTGGAAAGAGATCAATTTTTAATAATTAAATAAATACCTCGCCATAAGGGTGACTTTACTGCGCTTTGAATTATACCTAGTCTTCGCGATAGACCAATAAAATTATGTTCTTCCGCTAAACTAGTAGTACAGTTATGGAATTGAAATGACAAAAATCTCGCAGATAACGAAGCTGTTCGGCGTGAATTACGACACACCGACGAACATCCAAATTCACACGTCGGCGAGTCAACTTTCAGCGCCAGGCTCGTACATGTTGGCGCCGAGCTATAGCGAAGCCTTGCTGATGGAATCGGCTGGTATACCAACGACAGCGACGGCCAGTAACGCGCAAACTGAAGCACCTTCGGGAGCACCGCACACCGACATGGTACCAAGTTACTCGGAGGCGTTGCTTTACGAGCGTGCGGCTGCTGAATATCAGCCGTCTCAGTACACGTCTTTACCTATACAACCTACGACAGTAACGACACAGAAGACCACCAACTGCGAGTGTCCTTGTCATGGGATATCGACGACGCTCGGTGAGTTTGCCGTGTCGCAGGAGAGCCTGACTGAAAATTGGCGCGACGTTAGTGGGGCGAACGATACTACGGCCAATTTGCGTAGAGCCAAACGAACGGTGAGTTGTCTCGAAATGTTGAATTTAATGAAAGTCGGAATTCTGATTTTTATTCACATGTTCAGAATATTCAGAGCACCGATCGTGATGCGAGTTGTGCAAGCAGTAGCTTACGCGCCGAAGCTCGAATTTGCGAGAATTGCTTGAGCGACACGGCCACGACGGCGACGTCGACACGTCGTTCACTGGCGTTAACGACGCGAAGTAACGGTGATCTCGTCGCGGCCACTGTAGCGAATGAAGTAGACGGAAGTAGTGATAGTAGGCAGCCGCGACAAATAAGATATATTGTCAGAGAATATTCGGAGCCTGATCTACGGAGAAACACAAATACGTTGAGTGAAGCAGCAGTCAGATGTATTCGGAACAATGGCATGAGTTTGGAGAATATTATCGAGAGTGGCGAGGAAGTCGGTGAGTGAATGTGTGGTAATTTAGGATTGCAGCTAGCAAGTGAACGTTGAAAAATTATTTCAAGTAGAAGGTCAACGTCAACCGTTCGAGCAATCAGCACCGTCCACGAGCGCCGATCAACCACAAGCTTCAACGAGTTCCACGAACGACGAAGCGGCTCGAAGCACAGGCGCGATACCAAAGCGCGGAACAGCGTTGCACAGCACGAGCAACCAGAGTGTGAACCGTGTGACGGTGAATCCGATCGCTGAGGCAGTGAAACGCTTGCCGAACTCGCGTAGTACGTACTTCTGCTTGAAATCGATCCTTAAGCAGAACCGCAGGCGCTTCACCCTCGTCACGCCCGAAGAGTTGCAAAGCTTGACCTGTGGCAGCGAACCAACTTCCACAACTAATGCCGCTGACGACGACGACGAAATCGAGTGTTCCTGTGATGGATGTAGAGCTGAACTTGAGAGGCCAGATCACCTTAGGATCGACAAAAACAGACCGCTTAGCTGTCAGTCGCTTATGTATAAAAGAGAGAATTCTAGGTAAGTTTGAACGTGAATGAATGCACGAAGCTTTCTTTTTGAATACGCTTGGGGATTTTTACGATGGGTGATATGGTATCCGCTTGGCAAAACTTCGTTAGAGTAGGTGAAAATGTCCGACAAGTGGAATATTATTTAAACATCCATGGTTGACTTTTTTTTCAACGTTAGTTTTCATACAAATATTTATTATTACAATAATGACATTATCATTACATTTCATTAAAATGAAATTTAACTGTTATGTTTTTGCAAAAGTTAAATTTTTCGAAAAATTTATTTATTCTTTGGTATATTTTTCATAAAATATATTTAAAAAAAACGTGTTAACGCCACATATAACTTTGCACAAATTTATGCATAAACCGTTTTTTCTCATACCCGTTAAAAACTAATTTTAAAATTGAATAGTGAAAAAAAAAGCAGTCCTCCGTGTCAAATTTGTCAAAAAATAAAAAAAAAAGATTAATTCTCGTCGTCACATTTTTCAAGATCGATACACGCGAAGGGGAAAAACAAGGTCGATGCAAATTCATAAACACGTGAACCTTTCTCTTGACAAGTTAATCGTTGGTTACAAGATGCTCTTATATATATTTGCGTGTTATCGAACAGTAACGACCTCGAGCGATTTTATAAGCTGTTCCCTTGTTAACGGGAGGTAACATACCTGCGAAGGTTAGACCAACCGTGAAATAGTTTTCGAAAGAGAGAGAGAGAGAGAGAGAGAGAGAGAGAGAGAGAGAGAGAGAGAGAGAGAGAGAGAGAGAGAGATGCCAAATACGACAACGCTGCTGCTCACTCGACCGTATATTATATTTACATTTTAAATTTGCCACCTTGATGGAGGATCCTGCTCTCAACTCCGTCCGCGTGACTTTGACAATTTAGGTGCGCGGGGTTCATGCATGCATGTGCATTTTTCTGATTGCTCGCGAGAATTTACGACAGGATTTCTTTTTCTTTTTCCTTGTTTTATTTGGAAATTCAAAATAACATTATCAGTGATTTGAATATTCATTTCATGATGCAATTGTTGATTCTTGTAAAGGTGATATACATGAATTATACCACTTGCAAAATAATTTTTTTTTCAAAATGTACATCTTGGAATATTACCTCTTTCATTGATAATAGAATGAATTCCGGTAATTTTCTTAGCTCGTAATTAAATGTTAAGTGCTTCTTTGAATTAATAAAAATACAGATAATTTGAAATTTAAATAAAGTCATGTTGTTAAAGTTCTTAGTACACTTAGCATAGTTTAAGTATGCTACATAGTTCCAAAAGTAATATTTGCCATTTATCACAGACTTAACGGCATTGTACAATCAAATGAATTATCTTGAATTCAATAATGAGAATTAACGGCGCGAATAAAATTTACTCTGTAATCCTTTGAGATAGTATGAAAACCGATCAGTACAATCGATTACAGAATAGTCCGATGAGGGTCGCCACTCGAATTTTGAAACGAAGAAAATGCTAAGAGATAAGAAACGAGAATGATCGAGATATAGAACTTCAATCTATTATACAAACTTGGAATCATTACCAAAGTTTCGCAAGAGAACAGTTCGAAAAACTTTGTTTTTCTCATATTACAAATAAGCGAGTAACATTGTTTCATCCGCTTCAACAGGCAAAATCAAAGTTTCCTTCGTAACAAAAACAAATTTGACTTTATCCTCCAGAACTCTAATCTTCGCAAGTCCAATTCAAGCAGTATGTCCATCAGATCCATTTGGTGGTCGTAACATGGTGAAAAGTGAGCATCCACCTGATTACGAGAACGCACTCAATTTGCCAGTGTTAACGCGATTACGTCGCTCGGTAGTCGAACGCGAAGCAACGACTGTCACAGCTGTTGTAACTACTGCTACAAGTGCTGCTACTGCTGTTGCCGGGACTTCGAACTCCGCCGCCAGTGCCTCGAGCCGTGTATGGAAACATCGGCGAAACGACTCTCAAACTGCTTCTACCAGGTATTTTAAATATAGTTTTAGTAATAGAACAGTCTACGTTTAGTCGGGCTATGGAAATTCAATATGTCGATGTATCGAGCGCTTTTAAAGTACAGAAAATGATACTGTTTATTTTTTAATGGTATATTGTTTTTTTTTGCTGTCAATACGGAATACATACGAGTGTAGAAAAAGAAAACAACGTTTTATTCTGATAATATTGAAAAACACGACGTCACGCGATGTAACATCTTGACCGTTTTTTTTTTTTATTTATTCTATTCCGTTATTTTTCTTTCCTACCATCCAAACGAAAGACAAAATAAAAATAATCCATTATCCAATTCGCAGTTCCGACAGCAACACGCGGACAGCGTTAATAACGACAACGCAGTCAGGTCGCGCAGAGACGACGATCTCGATACCATCGTACGACGGTGTGACAGTACCGCCAGATTTACGAAATAGCCAGGTACCGTCGACAAGTACCGACGAGAGAAGTCCATTCCTCAGGCTTGACGAGCTTGCTACTGCCTCGGGGTCAGGATCGTCTGTCGATTCGACTGGACAAAGTGGAACTCACAGGGTGAGTTGATTTCTGCATATCTTTGATGTTTTGTCAAAAACTTGTTCTTCACCACCACGCGTAAACACTTGATTTATTTGAAGGGTAAATCGAAAGCACGATTGACGAGGTCATTAACGGAGAGACGTAATACCTCAAACTCGAGACGACGTGATCGAGCGTTAAGGAAAAGTCTCACTGAACGAGTGGACACTGAGTGTCGCATAGCCAACGTTAGACGCGGCGCCCACATCAACATCGAAACCTCATTGTAGACGACTTACTAATTGATGAGATGTTTTTTTAACTCTCCGATGTGGGCTGACTTAACGCTTGACTGTACTACTTAATCTTGCCAAATATAGTGGATTATATACATGTGATCGAGTTTCTGAATATACGAGTAATGACTGTAGATGTGAAAAGTAAAATGAAAGTTTGTCGGTTAATTAAGAGTTTAGTTTTCTGCGTTTTTGTTGTCTATTATCGGCAGTTATACTCACGTCTGGCATTAACAATCTGCCTTATGAAAGCTTAAAATATATACAAATGAAAATATTGCTTTCAAAAATCTTAAGTCTATGAAGATTAGTCATTGTAAATGATGAATAATTCATTGAATTTTGAAATTCATATTTTAAAGTCGATTTCATAAACTATGGGTTTTTCAAAACAAGTGCTACAATTCAAACATCGAGCGTTTATAAAAAAAAATAACAGTCGTTTTTTTTCAACGACCAAAGTGTGATACATGTTTTTTACTGGAGTGTTCATTGTGTTTTCCATTTAAAAAACACTTTTGACTTTAACCTGTCAAAAATGATTACTTGAGAAAGTAGAATTATGTCATCAGTATATTATATACTTATTACAATTTAACGTTTTATATAATATTCATATGTAATAATTATATTGTCATTTTTATCTGAGATACAAAGCAAATAATCACTAAGTCTCAAACATACAAAAAAGGAAAATGAAGGTAAAAAAATCAATGTTTGATATTTGTTGAGATATGTTATATTGAATATTGGTTGTTACTTGTTAATGAAAAATTTGAGGCCAAAATGTAAACAATTAAAGAAATTTAATTTAACTCAATATAAATAAATACAAAAATTTAGTGATTATTAAAACTTATTTTAAATAAAAAATCAGATAAAGAATGTTGGTAAATAAAAATACTTAATAGCTTTTGAGGAAAATTGTAAATTGTAATAAATTTGTTAGGGGGATCATACCGTTATATAATAATCCTTAAATTTATGTATAAAAAATATGAATTTATTTTCAATCAAGAATAGTGCGAGCAAAAAGTAATATTTATATATATATTTAAATTTAAAAAATGCACAATTTCTTTCGGCAAATAGTTCGATCACGTACATCTCTCAAATCAAAATAAAAATGTACTTATAAAGTAGTCAAAACCTTACGAGAGATAATTTCTCGGATTTTTTTGTATTCCACGAGATACGATTGACAAAAAAAGTTCTTTTTGTACAATATTTTTAAATAGAAAATCAATACGACGAACGTATAAGTAATTTTGAAATAATAATGTATACTCGTATAGATAGCACTGTGAAATATTCATTTTAAAAAGTAACAAATGACAATTATTAATCAAAAGCAGAATATTTCGCATTCTCCAGGAGTATTACGATCAAAGTTTTCCAAATAGCCAAAATTTCGCGATATTGTAGCCAGAATCTAACGAGACTTCCCAACTTCCATATACATCAGCGTTGTACACACACTCGCATAACAGAGCAAGTGAAACGTATAGCAGAGGTTAGTGCAGATATTAAAAATCGATATCTGTGGCATTGCTCCATGTGTGAAGGTGTCTGTGTATATATATATATATTATATTTTTGTGCATACACATACACAGATATGTGTGCGCGTGTCTCTCTCGATGATATATGAAATACACTACGAACTTGGAGCTATTCTTTTTCTCAATGTTTCAAAAAAATCCTTTCATCGAACACTCTCTGGTTGTCGTAGGAGTGTGTTATTCGCTTTCGTCTTACCTTTTTCTTTAGCGAACAAATAAGGCTGTGAAATAAAAAATAAAATCCCGAGCGATGGATACGACAGAAAGAAAAAAAAACAAAACCACGATTTTTCTGGAAATTTAATGTTTTCATTTGCTATTTGTGCACATACATTTTGCTTTAATCGACATAAAGCAACAATTCGACAAATCGGGCATAAAAGTGTCTCTTCCACTCTAGTTGATATTGTTAATTAAGCCACGTATAAATGCGAAATCGAGTAATAACAAATTAGATAAAATTCGTTATTCAGTTCGTAGACGTTGAGAATATAAACATAAAAAATAATATTAAACTTTGTAATTTTCACAAACGAGAATACGATCTTATGAATAATTGTTATAATGCAAAGATTGATTCATTGTTGTGTTCAGGAGTAAAATATTCAATCTATTTAATTCCAAAAATTGTGAGTGCAAAGACACTGCGAAGTAAACCATTAATCGACTTTGGACAAATAATTTGCTAAAATACAATTTTTCTTGCAGTGAATTTTAACGTTTGATACCTTTTTAAAAGCTCAATGTCATCTTTAAATTATTATTTTATAAGTCATGAATAATATTCAAAAGAGTATACCAACATACGTACGGGTTAAGATTTATAAACATTTTTAACGGCGAATAAATGTGCTTCGAAGCTGTCCTGCGAAAATACTTAAACTTTTGGTCGTCAAAATATTAAAATGGATTGTACTATCGGTGGTTCATCACTCCACTGCAAATATTTTCTCGCTAACGCTTGTATGTATCTATAAATTTAATAAAACTCATTTCTCCTTAAATAATACTTAACCATTTTTATCTTGCTTAAAAAATTAAGCTGCGCCATGATAAAACTTGAAAGTATTTATACGTAAATTAATAATAAACATTTATTTTGTTGATACATGTGCAAAAATTTACGTTGTTTAACTTGAGGTCGGTTTTTATTATTCGAAATTACAAAATTTGTCAAAATTAGTGTAAAGAAGACATTTAAGAATATTTTACGTTGATTCATGCAAAGTATAAGAATATGTATACAAAAATTAGTTGCAAATAAAGAAACGCATAAGTATTACTACTGTCAATTTATAAGCTTGTACACAAAAAGTTGTATGATGGCCATGTGTAATTTTTTTAGCTTGTAGGGCTCGAAAAAAATATAATGAAACCAGAATGTAATGTAATATACGAAACCATTCACAATGGATAATCAATTAGAATCAATATGTATGATATAAATGTATTATACACAATCTACGCTACTACTATTATTATAAAATCATTTGAAATTATCTTTTGTATCAAGAAAAGATAGGCATGTATTTTTTTTCAATAAGCTATGATAAATTTTAAATAAGTGCTCGTACTTTAAATAATAATCTTCTTTAATTAAAAAATTTTATTTTCAAAGAAACTTTCCCTATTATAAATGTGTAATTGAGAAAACGAAAAAAAAATGATTTTCGAGCCCAATCGACGGTAGGTCAAAAATAAGAAAGGTACGTAATGCCAAAATACAGAAAACGACGAGAAAAAAGTAAAAAACCAATACAAACTAATGCCGTCTCAAAAAGTGCTCTTGTAAAAATTAAAAACCATAGTGTGAATTTGTTACTTTATAACATGTATTGATGTACGAGCGAAGGTATATAAATAGTCATCTGAATTGATGTGTTTGTTGATGATCGAACAAAAGCTCATTGTACTTCGGCGGAAAAAGCAACAAAGAATCCGTGCGAATACTAACTAAATAACTTTTTGTCGCGGTGTCTCATTGTATAAATGAGTATTAGTGATAATTTGATTATTACTACTATTATTACACTTACTATCGACTGCATCAAAGTTTCTGTATGAAGAACCTGGTTACCGTATTTCAATAAATGTTATGAAACATTGCATTCGTATTCATTATTAACTCCTTTTCTTCGCTAATTTTTTCTTTTCGGATGTATTGGATATTTAAAACAAATAAGCTGATTAATTCATTTTACTGTTATATTTTTTGCAAACATACAATACTCATTTTTTTTGACATAGTTATAATTCATAAAAACGACAATTAATATAAAGTGTAACAATATTACAAAATAAAATTATAGTTAGCGCCAAATAAGCGTTGTTTTATTCGTTGCACCATGTGCATTAATTTTTATCTAAATTTATATTATGCTTGTAGAAAAATATTTTGGAGATGTTTATAAAAAAGTAATAAAATTCCGGTTTGACACTTTAAATGCCAGCCACAAGCTAAAAAATAATGAATACCTTTAAAAACATAAATTTAATAAATATAACATTTACGCACAATATTGTGCAAAATGTGCAGTTAAAATTATTAAACATATATGCTATCAAACGTTTATTCTAATTATTATAGATTTTGATTTTAATCAACATATAAATATATATTGGCTTTTGTGTAATATATCACTGTGCTCAATATAGACGTTAAAAAATGGATTTCGTGTAAATTTCAAATGAAAATTGGCCCCAATGACTTTGAAAGGTAGACAAAGTAACATAAATAAAAGAAATCTACAAAAGAATTAAGCACGTTTACTTTTCTTTTTTTTTTTTGGCAACATCGATTACTTCATTCTCATCAATTTTATATAAAACTATCGAAACAATATATGCATGTGAAATGTACGTAAATAACAATAAATAAAATATCCATTTATTCGTCTAAATTTGTAGCATTATCACTTTACCAATTTAATCGGTCAATTCATAATTTTATATTTACACTTGACGTTTAAGAGAAAACATCAAAATCTATTCGCATTTACAATGAAAAAGAAAACGTGTCTTTAACCAACTACGTACTAAATATATAAATCTTTTGTCTTTCTTATCCAAGGGCAATGCGATTCTTTTTCGTGAAAATAGTCCAAGTGTTCTCATTTTGTTAGACTAGCATAGCGGTATAAACGATTGCATTTGTGGCTAGTGCTTAACAATTACACATTAAACATAACGAGGTAAATGACTTCAGGTTATACTCAAAGTGCCTGTAATTATTCTTCTGGGGCATCAGAAGACTTTGTGTAATATACTCGGTAATAAAGAGTTTTACTCCTCCATAATGAGTAAGAATTGTCAAACTTCAATAAATAAATACCCTAAAATAAACAAAGTATTCATTATGTATTTTTCATTGTAGTCCAAATATTAGTTGCTTCAATTCAACTATAAGTAATAATTTACCTGTCCAGGATATTGATGACTTCCTGCATATACTTCTTCTTGAGAATCTCTCCTATATACCTATGAATTTAATAATAATGTTAGAAATATAATACAAAATAATTTATTTTGATAATTTTTCTATACATAAAAATACTTACAGGCACTATAACACTAATAGGAGTCATACTTGGTTTGAACTCTGGTTTCGACTCTCCATTAATATCTCCACTTTCCAAATCTTCTCTAGTTTCATAATCCTCCTCATCTTCATCTTCATCTTCTGACTCACTGATGTGAACTGATACCTGAGTGGTTTCTGGCTTACTCCATTCAAAATAAACACCAAAACCAATATCATATCCATCTGTGGCAAATTCCCAAAATAGACATGATCCATCTTCATGTGTTGGTACTCTAACGGTAACTGTTTCGCCATGACCAATTTTGATCACTGCATCACCTGCTTCTCTACGAATGGTATTTTTAAATTCATCTATGTCTCTTCTTGTCCACATTTCTGCAGGAACAATCGGTGGCCAATCCTAGAAAATTCAAAATCAAATGTAAAATAGATGCTTTACACAAAAAATAATTTTAACAAACCTGTGGTTCATCAGAGTCTTCATCAATTGTTGCTTGGGCATCATCCAAAAGTAGAGGATCTTCTTCTGGCTCTTTCGAATTGTCCATATTACTATCTTTCTTATCAATTTCTTTTTCTTCTATCACTGATTGATTTCTATGTAATTGTTGCATATACTGATGATAATGCTGTTCCTGCAGCTGCCTGATAAGTACACCCTGCTGCTCTGGGTTTCCAGGATACTGTTGCTCAGCGTACGATTTAAATTGATAATATGTTTGCTGATTCAGTGCATCCTGTATTTGCCTTCTTTGATTTTCTTCCTTCAAACGTTCCTCTTCTTCTTTCTTCTGCAGCTCTTCCAACTCTTTCTGCTTTTTCTCCTCTTCTATTTTTTTCAATTCTTCTTCTTTTTTTAATCTAGCTTTTTCTTCTACATCACGTTTTTGTGCCTCCACAAAAGTTTTGAACAGTGGACAAAGCTTATCAAGCAGAACTATGAAGCCTTCCATAGCCTCCTCCTTGGTCAAATTTCCCAAGTTTTGCCATGCTTGTTTGCGGTCTTTACCAATAACATCTAAAACTCCTAATTCTGGTGACTTCTCTGGACTAAATTTGCCATGAGATACTTGTTGAGTAAAAGCTACTAATTTTAATTTATCTTCGTATGATAAGTGCACAGCCTTTCCTTCTTTTTCTGGAATAATGATGTTATTATAAAATTTTCTAAGCATGTAATAATACCTACTTTATGAGAGTAGCTACTGTAAATTTGCATTAAATTCAAAAATCAATTTTATTATCTCCAATTGAGATAAGATGAATAAATAAGATAGCCTGATATGATTTTAGCCTAATTAAATGTTGTTTTCTTTTTAAGTCTAATTTGATTATTTAAAATGCAAATAGCATGGTTTATTGAGATTTTAGTTCAAATTTAGTTTATAATCATGAATAAAGGTAAGTACTTGATCATACAATAGAAAATTACATATTTTGTTATTGAAAAAATAAATATATAAAGTAAAATTAATGAGTGCACAAACGATTCAATTGAAGGTTGCATCCATTGTTTATTTTTTGAATAAATGACTCAAATAATATTATCATTTGAATTGAACATTTATATTAATTCACAATATATCTCATAGGAATGCGATGAAAGATATAAAAAAGAAATTAATTGTACAAAAAGATGTCAATGTTACAAAGCAAATTTCATCAAGAACATCGCTATTAAAAGAACCTTCTGGTGAGAAGTAACGGCCTCGTATTTACTACTAATGGGCACAGTTACATTTGTCTACTATCGACCGGAGTATGGAAATGTATAAATAATAAATGCGTATGAGTATACACGACCAACGAACAACAAAGTAAGGTATACGTATATGTGCGTACTATCAAGAGAAAAAAAGCGAAAGCATGTAAAACTTACCTTTGTAAAAATTGATAGCGATTTTGTAGAGTTCACGAGTATCGAAACCTGACAGGTGTGATTCGAGGACGTTCTGCCGATTGTTCTCTTCATTTTCCGTCGTGGCACTTACCGATAATTCGTTGAATTTCTCCTCCACCACAGAGACGTCGTCAGTGCTTGTCGACGCCATTTGCGTACACATAGAGATCTATAATAGTCTGGTGGGGAGATGACAAAAGAAACCCACTGACGATCAACTATCTGCCGTTTTCAATTGTGTGTGCTCTGTATGACGATCAGAGACGTCAATCGCTGTTCCTCAGCACTTGCTGTTTAATTGATACCTTTTTGAGGTTAAGTTGTCACGACTTGAATTAACTCTTGAAAGACGCACGCGCATCAACTCAATCGTTTGAGCACCGCCATCTAGTAAAGTAAAGTAAAGTCAATCGTTTGAGTAGCTGGAGATATTACACGCAACAATTTTTTATATGAATTACGAATTATTTCAAACTTTCATTTCGATTTTTTAAAGAGTTTACGTATAATTAAAAAAAAAATAGTATTCAGTATATTTTTACTAACGATTAGTTCGTTATACATATATATATAAACATAAGTGAATGGACATTTAAAAATATCCAATTAAATCTAATTAATTAATCTAAAAAAAATTGAAATGAATTAAATTGAAAATTTATCTAATGTGCATTAAAAATTAATTGCTGAATTCACCTGTAAAAGATCCGTTATTGCAATTTTCTTTTATATAGATACTATACATTTTTTTTATTAATTTAAGAATCGAATATGTATGTTGGATTAAAGAATAATGTTATTACGAAACGGAATGCATACATGTGCTTCAAAAAATTAAAACTATGATATTCATGAGCTAAATTACTTTTCACACACACACACACACACATACACTTATCATACATGTGTGTTACTAATAATAAAGAAAACGTATAAATTACATGTACTAAATTTAGTAATAGACTAGTAGTAGCTTATGGTATTTCAGTATTTGACATTTGTTTCGATTTCTAATAGATGGCGACAGGGGTTTTCAATGTATGTATATGTATTGCAAATTGCAACGCCTATTTCGTAAAAACATGGTCACTATAATAGCGTTCGTAATTTAATTCCTTGAGGATTCCAGTGAACACGTTTTTCGAAAATATATTTTAAATAATAAGAAACATTTATAAGTATGGTTCGTACTCTGTTGTTTTTAACAATTTGAACTCAGAAAACGTAGATTAAGTACAAATTTCACGTCTGAATATATAATCTGGCAATGTATTTTATCATAAACCAATAAAACCCCTATTATCATTATGTGTTACAAATTCTAGTGTTGTGGATCTATACTGTAACAAGTCCATGCAAATAAAAATACTAAAATTAAAATGTATGGTATTGAACTATATATAGTTTGTAAAATAAAAAAAATTTTGCTTTTACGAAAGAATATATATTTGACTGATGTTTTATAGCTTTTCTATAGAATTCAGATTTCAATTTATATAGAATTTTCTATAGAATTGATTTATTGTCTTCAATATATAATAGCATAATTATTAAAATATACTTAATTTACTTGGAAAATATCGAATCTAATTTTATATTAATAAAAAAATAAGAGCAAGGTGGTAAAGATTAATCGATTATGAGGCACGTGAATGTTAAAAGCTGTGCTCTCGACACAGATTTTCGTATCGGATTGGCTAGGGAAAAAGTACCCGCCAATGAAGTTTATCTGAGATAAGCAAACAAGATATAACCGCGTCCACACGTTTCACGAAACGTCTACGCGAAGTGACGCCTGGCTCGTAATATTAAGCAAATCGATATTGTGCAGGAACTCATGAAATTAAGTCAAAGAATAATTTTCATAAAGATAAAATTATTTGTACTCATTTGCAAGCCTAAGATTACTTTTATGTCGCAATGGTGAATAAACTTTTCTTTAGATTTTTCACAGTTGGCGTGTAATTGGTCGATGTTACGGTAAAGATTTAATAACTAAGCCGTAGATAAAAATAAGTGAGCAATTAAATGGTCCGTTCCTTTGCAAGCAATCAAACGCACGTGTTACAATTACCCGAGGGGTTTTTAATCGTTTTTACGCCTTAGTTTACGTCATTGGCTTGCACCTGGTAGTCCCATCCTTTTAAATCGAGTATAGTCGATTCTGAAAACTGTATATCCATCTATAATGTACTTTTCTTTTTTTCTACTATTGTTCAACGTCCAATAATTTTTCGGTAACTGTTTGTTTATGATTATACAATAATTTTGCTAATATAGAGATGAGGTTGTAATTATTATTAAATGTTTTTTCTAGTATAAGTAACTTAGAATTAGATTCTCGGTAATTGACATTTAAGCTAATGCAAAATCACATATCCAACGATAAACATCAACGCTGACTGTTAAGTCATTGTTAAATTAATATCTTCATGAACAACCATTTTTCTCGTTGATTTATCATAAAGTTAGTGTATCGCAAGTACCGCAAACAAGCTAGATAAATTAGAAAAGTCAAATGAAATCAGAAAAATATAAATTATTTTATTTGTCTCTCACCTCGACACACACCTTTGTATACGATTTTCGGGTTCTCGTCAATCGCAACGGTCGATCCACGATATCTACGGGGTTGCGTTATCGCAGCTGGCCAGTGAAGATAAGGTTGCCCCGCGGCACTGGCTATCCCTATCTGGAAACCGAGGCATTCTATTTTTTTTCGTACAAGTGCTCGGCTTTTTTTATTTCGTCGATATAATGTATAGGTGATCAATGTCCGTCGGCGCTCGGCCGCGTTCAGTACGTGCGGACGTCGGTGTACGCCGTGCTTCGCCACGTTTTTTTTTTTTAATTTCCTTTTATCGTTTGTCCTTGAGTGACAATATTTTTTTTCCTTAAGTACGCGGTTGTTTTTGGTTGTTTGACGAGATTGAAATGTAAAGCAAAATTGAAAGCATTTTCGTAATAATTAAGCGCTGAACAGAGGAACAGAGTGACCGTAGCAAGATTGATAATAAAAATTCACGGGTCCGCTTTTAACAGAAAACCAAATACTTAGTCATCTATATCAGAATCAAAACCGATAGAAAAAGAATAATTTCGCACAAATCAAAATTCCACAAAATTTATTAAACACGAGATGGCATCTGGTTACGACGACTACGATTCATCCTGGCACATGTTCCCGCCGGATTACGTTAGCAGCGCAGATGATTATGGGTAAGTTTGATGTTCACTGTTTTTTTCCTATAAGGAGAGGACTGCGTAAATCGTCGAGTTGGTTATAATTTTAAAGACTCTTTTTGTACGTGGCTTATCCGGTAGAAATACATGACTATCTTATAACAAAAACAGCTTGTGAACTAAGTAGTGGGAAACATTTGTATATTACCAAGTCAAGTGGAGATAAAATTTTTTTAAAGAAAAAGCTAAAATTTAACTAAAATAATCTGTAAATATGCAGCAATACCAAGTACTAAAACTAGACTGAATGCCTGCAGCTTTTTACACATGTTCAGATATTAAAAAACGTGCTTTTCGGTGCTTACGCGATAAACGTAATACGCTGTACTATATATTACCATAAAAAGATTCAATATATAATCTATCAGGAAATATTTATTTAGTTTAAGAAAATTCTTCGTTTAAAAGTTCCGTCTTATCGAAGTTCGATCGATTTACGATATTACAATATTCTTTTAACTTGTCAATATAGGGCAAAAACATTATTCTCGTTATAATCAAGCAAGCAAACGAAGGAAAAAAGTACAACACCCCGAATATAACGCACATCAACAATTTGTCGATGCACAACAGGTGCCGCCGCGGGCGTATCATCCCCCTTCACGCGCCCTACACTGTAACAGGACGTACCACCTCCCAGTCCTACTCTCTCGGATTCTCGCGAGGGCATAAACACTTCCGGCTTACGTGCATGTGCGACTCATGCACATCCGTTACGGCGGGCCGATAAGGGCGCGCGCATGCACTTGATGAATTACAGTGCCTGCCATTCGTGCGGCTGGATGCAAAGAGGCCCTATAATGCGTTTTGCATTTTCGCGCCGCGCGCCACGCGCCAAACGAGTACGTGCCTTTCCCCGCGGGCACATGGTGTTCAGGCTTGTCGCCGTTGTGTGCATGGCGAACGATCGCGAAATAAAGCGTTCCGATGAAAGATGTATCATTTCACGAGATCGTCGCTTTCCGTTTAGCGGGATAATTTGCCGGAAAATAAAAATTCTTCGTGCCCACAAAGGGATCCATCGAAGAGCATCGTTCCGTTGTGTACCTGCACCATCACGCGTTGGCAGGTATGTGCGCGCACGTGTGAAACGCCAAGTAGCAAGAGTGCATTGTCGAGCAATCAAAAGAGCGAGGAGTGGGGGGGGGGGGGGGGTAGTCTCGAGTTAATTAGATGGAAAATATTCCCTTTTGACGGAAGCTCGGAAAATCCGGTGAGAATCCCTCGGGGGAGAGGCGCGGGACTATTTCTCGCACTTCTCTTTTTTCCGGCGGCCTTGACGAACCGTTACGCCATTGACCTGCGAAAAACCTCTAAAGACGAAGGTGTCGAAGCTTGTGAATACGACCCGAAATGAGAGTTCGGTCACACTACCTGTCAATCAAAAGAGTTGAGCTGGACGCTTCTAAGTATTTTTTTTCTTTTATTACTGAGATCTATCGGCTAGTTCGATTTGTTCAGATTTCTATTTTGGAAACTTTGTGATGTTTCGTCCCTCGGATGGAATTGGTAATACTGTGATATTTGTCACCAACCATTGCTTTCTTTTAAAAAATATTACGATGTTTTACTTTTGTTATTGTGACTTACGTGACTCGAAAAGTTATTCATAATTTAATATAAGCGATTTTCTCGGTGCGTTCAATCGTTCCGGACACGCGGAAATTTCATAAATTAACTCGAAAGACACATCTGCAGACAAGAAAATGACACGTAAAATTCAAGTCCTTTCGAAAATTTCAATAGCCGCTGAGCAGCCAAAGAAATTCTCGTAGAATGACGTTGGTAAACAAAAGCTTCGATAGCCAAATGTCGCCAAACTGCAGATACCTTAAACGATTCTTAAAAAGCCAGCAAAAGCGGCAGCAGTTAGCTTTCGTGAGATTATAAACGTGGTCACGTTCGTTCCCCGTACCTTATACGTGCAATAAGTCCCCGAAGCTTCGACACTAGACAGCGCGGCGCTGAGTCTTTGTGCCCGAGTCTACTGGTACCGTAGTGTTATAGTTTTCCATTCATCGCGGCTAGTTCCTCTTTTCCAGGAGCTCGATCTTTTTACATTTTCTTTTTTCCGGTGAGGAATTCTTTATCCGGCCTCGATCGTGTTGAGTAATTGCGGCTTTTTCTCTCTTTCTCCATCTATGAGTCATTGAGTAAAATGGTGGGCTGGCTTTATGAACACAATGCCGGAAGCAATCGAGATTTTATTACACTACACATTGTGAAGACTCTTCCTGTTCTTTAAGTTCACACTTTCAACGTTTTTTAAAAACTGTTGACGATAAGTATCTGTAAATCTGATTTAATTGTTGAGTAGCGTAAATTTGTTGGACTTATTGTATTAAGAGTGCTTTTGAATAAAGCTTGTATGCTTACATCAAGTCGACAAAAGATTCTAAATTCGCAAAGTAAATAGTACATATAGTAATTGCTTCATTTAATGAAAATAAGCTTACATTTGACTATTAATCTAATTCAGGGAAGAAAAAAATTTTGTTCAATAAAATTCTTAAATGTTCATTATACGGGAGAAATACGTAATATAAAATGAATAAAATGACTCGCATCAAAGTATACAATAGTTCGATTTGTCGCTCAAACATCAAACTACAGTAGCACTGGCATAGAAACCCGAAAGAAAAACATTAACATAAAAAAAGTCAATTCGTCATCTCCTCCCATAGAGTAAAGTCAGTGTGCGGTATATAGGTAGACACCTCTAAAATTCATTTACTTCCGTTCAGAGGGTTTTTTTCCTTCGTTCATTTTTGGCGCGCGACGCGCTCCTTTGACGAAAAGTTCCTTTTTCGGGCATTTCGTCCATGTCGCATTCTTTTCGTCGGATGTGTGCCGTAGAGTGCAGTCGGTTTCCATCGGCATTCGACCGGATTCCATTCAATAACAAAAGTCGCCCTTCCGCTTCTTCTTCTGCCACTTCCTCACCCGGCTGGCAGCTCGGTCTCTTGTGTGTACACTTGGAGATACACTGTGCGGCTCCTCTCCAGCTCTCTTCGCAACGCTCCGATTCTTCTCTTCTCGCGCGCGAGCCTGGATTTTACAACGTTAAGTATCGGCGTTCGGCTTTACCCTCTCAAGGAGAACCTCTTGTGTAGTAGTGGCTTTTCCCTGAAATTTCCTGGAATACTTTACACAGAAATTTTTTTCATAAGTGTTCTAACACGTTTGCGGTAATTCGTAGAATATTTATTACTGAGAATTTTTTTTTTACATTGGATTTACAGGTATTATTCAAATTAAGTTCGTCTTGGGAAATATCCAAGTTGCATATTTATTCCACTTAAAAAGGCATCATTAGCCACTGCTTGGTGACAGCAGTACACGAGTTATCAATACAAGCTACCAATGATGGTACGCGCTATCGTTCTCGAGTAATTACACAATGTTCTTTTTGAAAGACGATTCTTTTCTTCTTCCATTCGCATCCTATGAAAAGCCAAAGATAGTGCATCGAATGTCGTCCAAATATAAAATGCGCCACTCGAGCTGGCCTCTTGATGCTCCAAGTGCCACTCGACTGGTATATATTTCTATGTCGAGATAGATTTTCAATTGAAGAGCGCGTGGATAGGGAATGTTATTTCGAGGATTTGACATATTCGTTTATCTAATACGCACTCGATGCCTTTTTTCTTCTGTCGATACTTACTGAGGAATCGTAGGGATTTCCGGAGATTAGGCGCTTCGATCGTTCAAGTCTGACAAAACTCGTCGGTATTTTATTTTATAAATCTCTAAATTTTTGATTTCGTATCATGGATTACAATCACATTTTTTTAATTAAAACTCGATAAGACACACTCGTTTGCACGAGCTGTAATTAAGGCCATCGTGTGTTATGTTCACACGCAATTTCGCCTTGAGTCGATTGTATCGGCAACGCGAATCGGCGATAAAGCAAGAAAGGTGCTCGTACATACTTCTCTATCTGATTCTGTATTATCGAAACAAATAACAGCCAAAATACATCGCTGAACGAGAAGAAATTCGGTTTGATTTTGGAACCATCGAGACAGATGTGTAATTTCATTTGAGAAAGTGCATTATATTTCACGAAGTATACGGAGGATTTGGGTAAGGTACCACAAAATGAAAATTTCAGCTTGAGGCAAATTTCTAATTTTATTTGAGAAAGTGCATCGTAATTTATAGAATATATGAATTACTCCAAAAACGAAGTACAGTTCGACACAGGTTAATAAATCTATTTATGAAGGCATCGTAATTCTTGAAACATTTGACAGACTTGTAACAGATGCCCTGCTGCAAAAAAACATGAAAAAACCTTGAAGTAAGCTCGTAATTCTCCTACGAAATAAGGGAAGAACTGAAAACTAGTAGTTCGCTGCATAAAGCAATACCGCTCGAGTATGTATAAGCTATATTACAGGAACGGGTACAGCTTCGAATGGATTCCAGATGTGAGAGTCAAAATTGATCCCACTTAGAGGCCTTCTCGCTCTGACAAAAACGCTGTAAATATAATAAAATCAGCGGGCAGTACAGAGTTCGCAGGTTTCGTTCGGCTTTACCGGGAGAAAACTTCTTCCAAGGCACGTAGAAGCAATAAATAAAGGAATCTCCTCCTACCGGCACTATTGCAGACACAATTCCAAGTATATTCTCTCTCTTCCTCCCTTTCTCGAAGGTGCCAAGCAGTCTGCGGCGCGGCGTCGACGTCTTTTCCTGCTCCGTTCTTTCTTGCGCGAGCGCCGCGCTCTTTTATTATCATTCGATCCTTCAAACCTTTTCTTTCAGTCGCGGTCTGTCGGCCACCTTTCTGCATCATTACGCTTTTTGAATTAATACATTTCTTTTTTTGGTTTTTCGCTTACCGCGTGTTAACTGGAAATTTATGGGATATCCTTTTCAATCCTATATTCAATTATGTAACTTTGAGTATTGTGCGGTTTTAAACCGAATATCACACTTCAGCTGAATAATAATAGGAGGATTAT